TCCTCATCGACTGCCTGATGCTTGTGAACACGTGGTTGGGGATTCTGCGCCATTGCTCTTGCAAAGCAGCGCCAAGTTCCTGCAAATTCTGAGGCTGGTTCCTAAGACCACGAAGCCTTCTCTCAAGTGCATCACAAACGTGCTGTATTGGATTAATTATAAGGTCAGGGGACCTCGATGGCCAGTCCATGACGTTGATTCCAGCGTTTTGGAGGAAATTTCGTGTCAACATCGCGGTATGCGGCCGAGCATTATCATGCTGGAACTGTAGACCTGGGCCATGAGCCGCCATGAAAGGAACGAGTTCAGGGCTGAGCACCTGGTCGCGGTAAGCAGCAGCTGTGAGGTTTCCACGGATGACCAAAAGTCGGGAACGGTTGTTCCCACAGAAAGCACCCCACACCATGCAATTTCCGCCCCCGAATCTGTCGACTTCCTGTACACAACATTGGTCATACCGTTCACGACGTCGTCTCCAGACTATATGCCTGCCGTCCGCGAATCTGAGGGTAAAGCTGGATTCATCGCTAAAGACGACTCGATTCCAGTCTCTCTGGGTCTATCTGAGGTGACGTTGGGCCTACAGCAGACGTTGACGTTGATGAAACGGCGTCAATAATGGCCCACGATATGGACGTCGAGAATGGAGATTGGCAGCCCGCAAACCGATTTCGAATGGTCTGTGAGGACAGTCGACCTCTAAACATCTCAGCCCTGTTTCATGGGTGACGTAGGACGATTTGACGATTTGACGGTCTTCTGCTTGTGATGTCACACGTGGACGACCCGACCTTGGGCGATCAGAAGTGGTGTAGTTTGGTGTAGACGACCTCGCAAGTCATACACAGTACGACGGCTGCATCCCATTCCTCTTGCGACGTCAATAACTGATCTTCCCGCTTGCAACATGCCAACGGCACGTTCACGTTGCACATGTGACAATCGTGGCATTTCAAGTACCGTTAGAACTGTGGTTTTAAAGTGTTTTTTCAATGCTTGAGGCCAATGCAAACACGTGCATATGAAGAAAACTTCGATGCAAAGATCACGTGATCGACTGCACGTGCAAAACCTGATTTGGCACTAACATCATTTGCACGACGAATGGATGGGTTTGAGTGGGTTTTGTTAACGTTTTTCTAGAGTCGAAAGATAGGGATCCCATTTCGGATACATAGATGTATCATCAGAGAAAAATTATTCATTATTTTTCAAATTACATTTTGTGAAGTTTCTTTTTTGACTCAGTATATATCATACATGAGGTAAATACTGTTTCAATACATGTATATGACATTTACAATCCGGAAACGCGTGAGGGTAGTAATCTGTATATTCTATAATGACATCCTTAAAAGTATCTATTTGTAAATTAGATATCAAATTCTGTTTACCCGCAAATGTTTCCCGGAACCGTGTGGTCTGCTTTGACGTAGTCGACCTCACACTGGCATGTGTCGGTAACTGAAATAAAACATATTTTACACACTGTGCATTATCATCACGCATTGAGCATAGTAAGTGTTGGTTCTACTTCCATCTATATCTTGTCGTGGTTCAGTGTTAGGACCATTACTGATCGTACACTTAGCTTCTACTTCCATCTATCTCTTGTCGGGGTTCAGTGTTAGGACCATTACTGATCGTACACTTAGCTTCTACTTCCATCTATCTCTTGTCGGGGTTCAGTGGTAGGACCATTACTGATCGTACACTTAGCTTCTACTTCCATCTATCTCTTGTCGGGGTTCAGTGGTAGGACCATTACTGATCGTACACTTAGCTTCTACTTCCATCTATCTCTTGTCGGGGTTCAGTGTTAGGACCATTACTGATCGTACACTTAGCTTCTACTTCCATCTATCTCTTGTCGGGGTTCAGTGTTAGGACCATTACTGATCGTACACTTAGCTTCTACTTCCATCTATATCTTGTCGGGGTTCAGTGGTAGGACCATTACTGATCGTACACTTAGCTTCTACTTCCATCTATATCTTGTCGGGGTTCAGTGTTAGGACCATTACTGATCGTACACTTAGCTTCTACTTCCATCTATCTCTTGTCGGGGTTCAGTGTTAGGACCATTACTGATCGTACACTTAGCTTCTACTTCCATCTATATCTTGTCGGGGTTCAGTGTTAGGACCATTACTGATCGTACACTTAGCTTCTACTTCCATCTATATCTTGTCGGGGTTCAGTGTTAGGACCATTACTGATCGTACACTTAGCTTCTACTTCCATCTATCTCTTGTCATGGTTCGGTGTTAGGACCATTACTGATCGTACACTTAGCTTCTACTTCAGGACCATTACTGATCTCTATCTCTTGTCGTCGTGGTTCAGTGTTAGGACCATTACTGATCGTACACTTAGCTTCTACTTCCATCTATCTCTTGTCATGGTTCGGTGTTAGGACCATTACTGATCCTACACTTAGCTTCTACTTCCATCTATCTCTTGTCATGGTTCAGTGTTAGGACCATTACTGATCGTACACTTAGCTTCTACTTCCATCTATCTCTTGTCATGGTTCGGTGTTAGGACCATCACTGATCGTACACTTAGCTTCTACTTCCATCTATCTCTTGTCGGGGTTCAGTGGTAGGACCATTTCTGATCGTACACTAACGTTCTACTTCCATCTATCTCTTGTCATGGTTCGGTGTTAGGACCATTACTGATCGTACACTTAGGTTTGTGATTTCTGTCACCAGCAGTAATACAATACGCATCAGACCATACTTACGGCAGCTAGTGATGCCCGTCATGGTGGTCTCCGCTATTGTTGCGAGATCTGAAGGCTTTGTAGTACCATCACAAGAAACATCTGTCTTGCCTTCCAAGCATTTGACGAGGGTTTTACTTGCGCTGTAGCAGTATGCAAATATAAACATCCAGTAGTTATTTACATAGGTTTTGGCGTACTATATCTTGCAAGGAACAATTCCACTGTATTTTAGAGGGAGCTGAGAAAGATTTCAAAGCTAAAATCCCATACGAATGATATCACAAAAGAAAGATGGTACGCTCATTTTTATGAACTTTTCAATAGGAGAGATATAACTGAACCAGATGTACTGCTCAATTTAGACCAATCTGTAGAAATGAGTGAAGTTGATAAGGAAATACTTGAATCCATTATTACTGAAGAAGAAATTCACAAAGCTATACAGCAAATGAGAAATGGTAAATCTCCAGGAATTGATAACGTCCTTATAGAAATGATTAAAACAAGCGAATCTAAAATAATGCCTTTTTAGTGACAATGTTAAATAAAATATAATTAAATGGTTGTTTTCCACAAGTGTGGAGTAAGCAATTATAGTTCCTCTGCACAAAAAAGGTGATGTAAATATTCCCGATAATTACCGAGGGATATCTTTACTCAGCTCACTCGGGAAAATATATACTAGTGTTTTAAATGAAAGACTAACAATATTGGCAAATATTATGGATAAAGTTTCTGAAACTCAAGCTGGTTTTCTGAAGGGCTATTCAGTTGTTGACCATATCATCACATTGTATGCTACCATCGAGAAAAACCTATGTAGAAGAAGGGAAAAATATACGTTGCTTTCATTGATTTTAAACATGCTTTTGATTTTGTAAATAGAGATAAACTCTGGAAATAACTCTCATCATACGACGTAAAAGGCAAAATGTTACAAGCTCTTATGAGCACATACAGTGAAATCGTGTGTCAGAGTACAATCCGAGCTAACGGAACATTTTAATTGTCCATTTGGTTTACGTCAGGGTTGTATGTTGAGTCCAATGTTATTCTCATTGTTTTTAAATGAACTTTCTGTAGAAATCACAAATTATGGTAAGCATGGGGTCCAATTGTTTCCAGATGTACTTGAAATTCTAATGTTCTTGTTTGCGGATGATGTAATTCTTGTGTCAGACACTATTGGAGGTCTTCAGTGCCAGCTAGACACTTTATAATCGTATGCAGATAAGTGGGGATTAACTGTCAATTTAGATAAATCTAAAGTTCTTGTTTTTAGGAGAGGTGGGAAATTAGCGGTTAAGGAAAACTGGCTTTATAATGGGAGAAACATTGAAACGGTAAACAGCTACAAATATCGGGTTTTGTGTTCACGTGTAATTGTAGCCTTAGACAAGCGGTCTCAGAACTTGCGGTTTGTAGTTAGAAGGCTTTAATGGAATTAAACTATAAACTTAAGGAAATTAGGACCAATACCTTTGGAAGAAGTACAAGTACAAGAAGTACAAGTATATTGGCTGAATTTGGCTGTCAAATATACTCATGCCAATAATGGTTGTCACCCCCTTCAATTTGTTTTATTGGAGAGGGGGTGTGTGTGTGTGTGGGGGGGGGGGGTGGTGAGGGTGGTGACAACCATTATTGGCATGAGTATATTTGACAGCCAAATTCAGCCAATATACTTGTAGAAGTTTGGGGGGTTAAAATATACGATAGCATTCAAAAAGTTCGAAAGATGAAATCTTGGCTAAAGTTAATGGCAATGCATGATAGACGAATTCCGAAAAAGGCATACAATATGTTATACTACCTAGATACTGCTGGGTACCACACATGGGCGTCTGAAATCCGCCATATACTTTGCTCACACGGCTTTGGATTTGTCTGGTGATCACAAGCTGTCGGTGATCCGTGCGCTTTTATTCACATTTTAAAGAACGCTTGATTAATATGTTTTACCAAAATTGGACATCTACTCTTGAAAACAGTTCACGTTATACGTTTTATGCAAAATATAAGAGTCTTCTTGAGCCTGAGGGGTATATGTCTTCAAATTTGGAATATATATTCCGTACAGTATTGATCAAATTCAGAGCTGGTGTCTTACGTTTAAAGAATAACGTAGGTAGGTGGCAAAATATTGACGTATCTCAAAGAAATTGTCCTGCATGTAAAGTAGAATAATGATATAGAAGATGAATATTACTTCTTCTTTTTTTTCTCATCACCACACACAGAAAGATCCTCAGCATCCACTCTGCCAAACATTCAACATGGACAAATCTCGACAGATAGAAAGGTCCTGTCGACCACCTCTGCCTCTCATTGAGCTTGGTCTCGTCACCACAGACAGAAAGATCCTCAGCATCCACTCTGCCAAACATTCAACATGGACAAATCTCGACAGATAGAAAGGTCCTGTCCACCATCCCTGCCTGTCATTGAGCTTGGTCTCCTCACCACACACAGAAAGATCCTCAGCATCCACTCTGCCAAACATTCAACATGGACAAATCTCGACAGATAGAAAGGTCCTGTCGACCACCTCTGCCTCTCATTGAGCTTGGTCTCGTCACCACAGACAGAAAGATCCTCAGCATCCACTCTGCCAAACATTCAACATGGACAAATCTCGACAGATAGAAAGGTCCTGTCCACCATCCCTGCCTGTCATTGAGCTTGGTCTCCTCACCACACACAGAAAGATCCTCAGCATCCACTCTGCCAAACATTCAACATGGACAAATCCCGACAGATAGGAAGGTCCTGTCGACCATCTCTGCCTCTCAAATGAGCGTGGTCTCATCACCACACACAGAAAGATCCTCAGCATCCACTCTGCCAAACATTCAACATGATCAGGTCTCAGCATCCCGGGTCCTCCTCACATTTTCTGGCCAAACATTCAACGTTAACATGTTCAACCAAACAGCCAGATCCTCCAAACCCTCTGCCCAATATTCAACATGACATTACTCAACATATGTTATTGCCCATACGGGTGAAGAGATCCCGTGTAATATATTTTTTATATTTGCACACTGTGCAATTTAGTGATTCTTGACGTTGATTGGTTGATCGTATCTTTCTACATTTTCATTGGATGCCGGAAATACTTTCACACCACTACGTTCATTAATAATATTTCATTGATTCATTGATGTATTGACCGTGCTGTAGTCGCACTGATTCTAGATATTATAATAGAAAAAAAACACATACAGGATTTAGATTTTGATGCTAAATTAATGCTCTATTTCATACTTCACTAACAATATGGCGTCGCTTACTTAACTTAATAATAAATGTATAAAATTGTTAAAACCATCTGCTTCTTTTGTAAACAAACATGGCTACCCAGTTAATTCCAATCAAAGTCAATGACCTGGTCAAGGTGGACGGAGACATTACTGGACGTGTGACGAGATTAATACAACCACAACAATTCCTTTAACGTGTATGTGATAACACTGAATGTGGTGAAATGGAAGTCGCAAGGTGTTGACTAAATGTGTTTTCGGAAACGATATCGAGCGAGTCCCTCGTGAAATTAATGTTCAAGTCAACATTAATTTCACTCGGGACATATTTCCCGTAATCACTCGTACCTCATGGGTTATTCTCTAAAGATCCGCCACGACTCTCTATCAAGTATTATAATATGGACAGGCCTTGACAACTGGCAAACTCTCAACCCTCACTGCTCAACATTCAACAGTAACAACTCCCAACACCAGAAAGGTACTCACGTGCATTTGTCTGCATCCTGAGTCCTAGTAGCCTTGATGTAGTCAATCTCACACTGACACGTGTCTGTCACAGCTGTGGAAAAATACGACAAAACCATTTCCTGCATTCCATAATTTGATTTCCACACATCTCAGCTAAATCTCTTCTAAAATGATCTTGGTCGGCTTTGAACTGAACCATCTGATCAATGGACTACATTCATATCCATGGAGGCGTCTTGAATCGTTTAGCTGCGTGCGCAAATGTTTCAGTTCTACATCTTATGCGTACCTGCACTTTAATACAGATCTTTCTTAGTACTGAGTATACGTGTGAAGATCCGCGTTATAATTGGTCCTCAGGAACCCATGATAGTCGCAAGATTGGGTGGTAAAGGTCATTAATGTGTGGTTGATGGAAATCATATCCCAGATGTGAATAACATCTATGCTCATGATATCGATCACTGGGACGTCTGGTCCAGACATTGTAATTTACAGACCACAGACACATAGCTGGGAAATTGCTGAGTGGGGCGTTTAACAATAAACAAGGCAAAAAGAAACGGTAATGAGTATCATAAACAAACAAATAAATAAAGGCTTTAGGCTCACTATATAGAGATTCTATTTATCATCAAAAATCACTCTTCGTTAGTTTTCAGTGAAAATGTACATCTCTGAACACGGTACTGCCATTAGAGTTGCTATGCAGCGATGTCATCGCATTGTGACATCATCAGGTTTTTGACGTCATAACATTGTCAGTCATGTATTTGATGACGTCAGGACATTGTACAAAACCCACTGTTTAGACGATATCCCATAGGAGATATCGTTTGATTTCACACAAGCAATATCTCCTGTGTAACACAGTTTTGGTTGATAAACGGAATAGGATATTTACTGCAGCCAGGGTTAGGTGTGGCCTTGAAATCGGTTTCAGCTGTCCCCGCCAAGGTGGGCACTGTATTGGTGCTGACGCAGCCCTCCGCTGTTTTCGACCGCAGACACACCAGATATACCGCCAGAGCCCTTAACAAACGTAGGTACATAATCATACAACGTATACAAAGTGAGTGAGTGGGTGAGTTTAGTTTTACGCCGCACTCAGCAATATTCCAGCTATATAGCAGCGGTCTGTAAATAATCGAGTCTGGACCAGACAATCGACTGATCAACATCATGAGCATCGATCTGTGCATTTGGGAACCGATGACATGTGTCAACCAAGTCAGCGAGTCTGATCACTCAATCCTGTTGGTCGCCTCTTACGACAAGTATGGGTTACTGAAGACCAATTCTAACCGATATCTTCATGGTGTTGATCACTGGATTGTCTGGTCCTGATTTGATTATTTACAGACCGCCGCCATGCAGCTGGAATATTGCTGTGTGTGACGTTATGGCAACAACAACGAATAAAAAACAAAACAAAACTTCGTGTGGCTTACGCCCTACACAGCATTCAATTAACTGAAGTGTTTCCCTGAAGTGTTTCGTATATAATTCTGTTCTGCAGAGCTCACAAGGCGCTGCTGAATTAGCTGATGACAACAAAGGACAATGACTTTGATGGCTCCACTGCTGAATGCGGCGTTCAACAACAACCAGCCAATCCAACCTGATTACAATTACCCGACTTAATACTTACGTGCACTTCTTGGTATTAGTGTCGATGGGGGCTTTGGCGTACACAAGCTCGCAGGCCGTACATGTGTCCGTTGGTGCTTAAAAAGAAAATGAATACATTTACTACAGGGCTCATAATCTTCAGTCACAAATACCATCGGAACAAAATCTGTCACACAAATGTAATTAATCTCATAAAAAATCAATAATGTGTTCATTTATACAGCGCTAAACTCCACACTAGGTAGCACAGCCCAATACTACCCCGAATAACCCAAGCTGTCTGTTAGGCGCGAGAAGGTTATAGTCACATCACCACCGGGTACCCTTTTTTCTGCTGGGTGAACACAGGGAATTTTTAATAAGGTGAGACCACATGTATCACAATGTATCACAATGTACCACAATGCAATGTAATTTATGTACCATAATTGAGGTAAGACTATAATAAAATACTTGTTTGTCTGTCTGTATCACATGTGTTTCGTTGTGGGGCAGGACTGAAGTTCTTGAAGTCAAACTGCCAAACGTGGTCACCCATCCAAGACCCTTCCGCACTCATCGTTGCTTAACTTATTCTATAAGCTCTATGCACAAGACCACACGCCACCACATCCAACCATCTTTTTGCCACTCATATATTTTAGAGCACTCTAAATTAACGAGTGAAGATGTTTAAGCCACTTGTAGCAGCATGGTGGGAGATAGAAAGAAATAGGGAACCGAACACGGGAATCGAGTCATAATCTACAATGATACTAAGTTTCTCGAAATAATTCTTTTCTCATCTTCTATTTAAGATAATATATTTTTTACTTTAAATATCTTCTTTATGTTTATAAAAATGTTTTACATTTTTATTGCTTGGGAAATAAGATGGTTTTATATAGCGACATGTATACACGGTTTTAAGGTGTTAGCCAAATGAGTGAGTGAGTGAGTTTAGTTTTACGCCACACTCAGCAATATTCCAGCTATATGGCGGCGGTCTGTAAATAATCGAGTCTGGACCAGACAATCCAGTGATCAACAACATGAGCATCGATCTACGCAATTGGGATACGATGACATGTGCCAACCAAGTCAGCGAGCCTGACCACCCGAACCCTTCAGTAGCCTCTTGCGACAAGCATGGGTTACTGAAGATCAATTCTAACCCGGATCTACACGATTAGTTAGCCGAATGAGATATCATAAAAAAGTTTAATAAGCACATGCCACAGACAGGGCAGGGTGACTGGAGGTACTATCTTATTGGTACGTGGTCATTCGATGAAACTATCGGTGAAAATGATACAAAGGAATGAGTGAGTGAGCTTTTAGCAATATTCCAGCATTTCACGGAGGGGGACACCAGAAATGGGCTTCACACATTGTACCCATGTGGGGAATCGAACTCTGTCTTTCAGCGTGACGAGCGGATGCTGCAACCATTAGACTACCTCACCACCAGACACAAAGGAGGAAGGTACACTGAGTAACTATGGTTTACGCCACTTTCAGCATTATTCCAGCAAAGAGAAATTGGCTTCACTCATTGTATAGCCCGTTTGCCTCAAAAGCGGACCGATGAATTGCAGTATCGAAAACATCAGACCAACTCTGTAAGTTTTTGTAGTATTTTATGTTCTGAAAATAAAAAAGTTGTTTAACAAACTATCATTATAATTTTAACACAGTTCACTATTTGTTATGAGGGAGGAGTGCACAGAGAGGAACAGCCAGGTGAACGCGAAGCACGAGCACAAGTGCCGACAAAGTTATTGATTCATTAACCTGTGCTGTGCCGTCTCCATCCTTTCGCGCAGACCTGGCTGTTCCTCTTTTTGCACTCCACCCTTGTAACCAATAGTGACACTCCACACCAGAAATGGGCTTCACACATTGTACCCATGTGGGGATTCGAACCACGAGCCAACGCTTTAACCACTAGGCTACCCCACCGTGTGAAATGTGTAAATATTTAATGATAGTTCCTTAAACAACTTTTTTTATTTTAGGACATCAATTCTGCAAAGAACTCACAGAGTTGGTCTGATGTTTGGATTATGATCAGCATTTCATTGAGTATCATATGTTTATTACTTTTCGAGTTAGATTGCAATTCATCGGTCCGCTTTTGAGCCAAACGGACTATAGTCGTTGATAGGAATCGAAACAGGATTTTCGGGATGACGACGCTTAAGCACAGGGTTGCTTCCCCGGCCCTGAAAGATGAAAGGGCATACATCGGTGACAAAATGTTAAGAGATTGTGCTCCAAACTGTAAAGTAACTTACAGCAACTGCCAAGTTTGGTGTCTGCTGCTGTTGCCAAGGCAATAGGCGTGGATGCACTGTTACAGCTTGAATCTGTAGCTGCTTTGCCCTTGAGACAAGACACGAGAGCCATTTCAGCACTGAAAGAGAATGAAATAAAATTTGGTGGACTTACTAGCGATTGAGTGGATCGAAATATACGCCTCTTTTAGCAATATTCCACCAATATCAACGAATATGAAACCTATGTAATCGATAATATCGTAAATGAACACTTGTGATAACAAATCATTTTCAATTTTACTCAGAAATTAAGCATATTCAGGTCTTTCATGGACTGCTCCTAAAGTTTGGTCAGGACGGTGTTCTGTTGGTAATCGAATCTTTAATATGTCACCAGTCACCACTGACGTAAAATGTGGTGATTTGTTTCATATTTTTAGTCAATTTTGCTGAAAGCTACTTCTCCGATATGTATCGATAATCGACCGATATTCATTTAACGATGATCGATCTGCATGATCTATATTGATAGCCAGCCCTAACGACATGGTACAAATATGGAAAATCGAACCTGGACCTTCGGCGTGAAGAGAGAACGCTTTCACCACTAGGCTACTGCACACACCAACGACATTAAGAGCCGCATAACGCACGAATGACATATATAAAGACATCGCATGCATGTATGCATTAAAACACACGCCTTGTGGACAGATGCCAGAGGTTATATCTCCAGGAATACGGTTTTGTTCATCCGACGATTGAAGGGTGCGGTGGGGTAGTCTAGTGGTTAAAGCGTTCGCTCGTAACGCCCAACACCCGGGTTCGATTCTCCACATGGGTACAATGTGTGAGGCCCATTTCTGGTGCCCCCGATGAGATATTGCTAGAATATTGCTAAAAGCGGCGTAAATACAGTCGTGTACCGGTAGATCGTGAATATTCACTGAACGATAGCAAAGGTTTTTATTCTGTACCGACAAAAACGAAAAACTTATCATGCTTACTCCTCGTTTAAAGACACATCCCATACTTTGTCAGTAAAATATCGGATAATGAATCGTAATTGGCGTTTCAAGTTTACAACTAAAATTGCCGCAATGAACATGAGTACACAGACAGTTCGGACATCTTTACCGTCAAGAGGTTTCCATGCGATTCCACGTGAATATGTGTTTCGTGAATCGCATCGGATCGTTATCGGATCGTTATCTACGTATCGCGATCGTGTCGTGACGTACCTATCACGTTAGGTATCCTGTCGTGACATACGTATCGTGACCTACGTATCACGTAAGGTATCATGTCGTGACATACGTATCGTGACCTACGTATCACGTTAGGTATCATGTCGTGACATACGTATCGTGACCTACGTATCACGATAAGTATTTTATCATGACTTACGTATCATGTCATAACCTATGTATCGTGACCTACCTATCACGTTAGGTATCATGCCGTGACATACAAAAACATTTACATTTCGTGACCTACGTATCACGTTAGGTATCATGTCGTAACATACGTATCGTGACCTACGTATCACGATTATCGTATAATGACTTACGTATCATGTCATAACCTATGTATCGTGACTTACGTATCATGCTAGGTATCATGCCGTGACATACAAACACATTTACGTATCGTGACCTACGTATCATAAACGTATGTCATGACCTTTTGTGATTCGTATCTCGTGATCTTGGCCTTAATCTATGATGGATAAGCTTAGGTCATGTTTGTCATTTTAAGTTAATTTTAAAACAAGTTGAGACTGACATGCGAAACAAAATGCCACCGTCTTTGTCGGCAATGTGGAATTTTAAGGCAATACGGGTTTGTACTCTAATGGTTCTAACTAGACAATAACCTCGGCACTTTTGACATTTGTACATTTAAACGTGATTATTTCTCGTGAGGAAATGAATTCAAATTTTAAGTTAATTTTAAAACAAGTTGATAAAATGCTTGAATGCACAATACGGGTTTGTACAAATACCACCCTTACTTTTGAGATTATTTCAGTTCTGTGATGGGTCAAAACATAGGGTCTTACTTGCACTGCTCGGTAGGCGATGAGTAGGGCATCTTGACGTAGGCAACTTCACAGCCGCACGTTTTGTCTGCGATGGCTGTAAATTGGCAAAAACAATGTATAACAATTACTTAAATATTAAAAATATATAGATTACAATAATGGCTATTTATAAAGCACCTGTTTCTACGCACATGTGCATGTTCAAAGCGCTAACGCATTATTATCCCGGATAACCCAAGCTGCCTGTAACGCGCTGGAAGACTAACAGTCATATCACTTATCCCACCAGGTACCCATTCACTGCTGGGTGAACAGAAACAATTCATGAACAAACTCATTTGCCTAAGGTGAGATCACATGTCTCGTGTGCTTCGTTTTGGGGCGGGACTGAAGTCGGGGCGCGTCGGGCGATCTGGCTAAGGCGTCAGGCTAGTGATCCAGCGAGCTTGAGGTGCCGGGATCGAGCCCACCTGTGACCGGGTGTAAAAACCTTGGAGTCAACTTTGCGTGCAGACTCTTTCAGTGTTGTCACAACCCCTAGTGTACAGTACACAACCCTGTGCACTTAAAAGAACCCACGAATCCGTTGGTATATGACCAGATGGTGGCCACATGAATACGAGCAAACACCTAGTTGCGGGTACAGCAACGTGCAGTAAACTTGGACAGGGTACTGTAACTATGAGTCCACCCAGCTGTAAGTGGGTACCTCGTTAGGATGAGAAAGCCACAATAACTCTGTATGCCTAGTGGCTGCAAGAGTTGTATACTCCCCAGGGAGTTGAGATAATAGTAGAATAATAACAGAAACTCTGTGGAGTCAAGCTCATGATCACCCATCCAGTGACTGTCTGCGACCAATGTTGCTTAACTTCAACGGATTTGTGACCTGGGCCACGCATCACCATCCAACACAAGAAAATCCAGTGCGATTCCACTAATCCCCCCAACCTGTAACGTTGTCAATGCCACTTTATTGGAATAACATATTTCCTTCTGTTACATTTCAAATAACCTGACACAATACCTGCTGCGAAAGATTTAGTAAATGAAGATAGTAAACAACGAAACACGTCACTCTTCCGAACATAAACAACGATGAGTGAGCGAGTGTAGTTTTATGCCGCAATATTCAAGCTATATGGCGGCGGTCTGTAAATATTAGAAACTGGACTAGACAATCCGGTGATCCAAACCATGAGCATCGATATGCGCCATTGGGATACGATGACATGTGTCAACCAAGCCAGCGAGCCTGACCACCCGATCCCATTAGTCGCCTCTAACTCACCGCATTCAGACAAACGTATGCTTTATTCCGCTGTTTTCGTGAAATATACTCATCTAGGAGTCTAACACCACACTCGGGTGTTAGATTACCGCATGTTATTTTCAGCTATTGTCGCGATGGAAAATAGGCATAATGGGTCTACTCACCGCACGTAGATGTAAGGGTGCCGTATTTTGTCTCTGCAGTGGTGCCGAGAGCTGTTACAATCGTCCCAGCGCAGCCAGTATCAGTCTTTGTCTTCAGGCATTCCACGAATATCCCAAGTGCTCTGTACAAAAAGGTCGTATATGTATTTATATTTATTCTCTTCGTAATATGTGGTTTCTGATCTGGGCGAATAAACCTGTTTTGCGCTCGCTTTGAATAGTCCGATAATGCAAGAAACATTGTCGTGTTTTGGGGCGAAAATGAACAGGAACTCAAAATTTAATATCATGATTTAGTTACACATGTTATATTTGGAATACTCTTTCTCTGTAAAGTACAGTTTCTAGTACTTTTGTTTGGTTGAGTCTCACCAAAGCCAGCCGTCTAACCCGCTTAGCCAGCGCAGCTTCCGCGAAAATGGAAGTCGGACAACTGGTAGTCTAGATCACGGACTCTCTGTACCTCTCTGATAAGTATGTGCTATGCTGGAGATTAGGTACCTGACTCTGAGAGGGTGGGGTCGAAACCCGGGTGGGACTCAACCCAACAAAAGTACTAGATCTGTACTCTATTGAGAAAGTGTAATCCTAAATATAACATGTGTTACATTTGACCACTTTCTAAATGACATGACAGAGTTAGTGAATGAAATGTTATTAGTTTTAAGACACGTCTTCTTGAACGATGTGTTAATCATTCACGATATTCTTTAAGGTTGGTTGGCTGGTTTGTTGTTTAACGGTAAATGATCGAGTCTGGATCGGACAATCCAGTGATCAACATCATGAGCATCGATCTACGCAATTGGGATACGATGACATGTGTCAACCAAGTCAGCGAGCCTGACCACCCGAACCCTTTAGTCGCCTCTTGCGACAAGCATGGGTTACTGAAGATCAATTCTAACCCGGATCTTCACGGGCACAGACCGGCTACAGCACTAGTTGACTTGTTCTACAAAAGGATTTACACACGTGCAGTGGTTAGCGTCGGATGATATATCGGCCTTGGCGTAGTTAGCCTCACACGTGCAGGTGTCCGTCAGGTCTGGAGGGATGAAAGGACATGAACTAAAATTTAAGACAGTAGTTATCTCTGAATACAAACTGAGTACTTATATACTCTTAACATGGTAGGGGAACTTCATTTTTAACTTACGATTGAAAAAAATGGGTAATTGGTTGATATGACAATAATGAATGTTTTGAGAGCGCATCACCACTTGCACTTTCTCGTGACCATAGTTGTTTGTAAAGTAATCGTTCTTGAGAGATGACTGCTGTATGACGTGAAATTTGCATGCGTATGTTTTTCATTTTCAAACAGAAAACGGCTAGAAACAAACACTAACAACTGTGTGATTCAAGATGATTGTCAAAATTAATGATCTACAGTGATTTATCGACCTTCTTGAAAACCGTCAAAATCAAGAATGACACTCCATGCACATGTATGGGGCTACTGCGTTGTGCACGTGCAGCCCATACGCTGTGTTTGGGGATGGTGATAAAGAGAATTGATGGTGCGTTCATAAGATCTGTGTCTTTGAAAAAGTGCGTTAACGCTTATACTTCCTATCCAATACGCACACACAGTACAAATATTGCGGTAATAGAAAAACACACTGACACGAATCTTTAACCTTACTTTGAAGACTGGTGGACAACTCCTGGATTGGTAAATTTGTATGGGTCGATGTAGGACGTGAGATAGGTGAGTGAGTAAGTGGGGGAGTATGGTTTAATGCCGCTTTTAGCAATATTCCAGCAATATCACGGCGGGGGACACCAGAAATTGGCTTCACACATTGTGCCCACGTGGGGAATCGAACCCGGAGACTTGAGATAGGTGTTTAGTTTGGTGTTTGGTATGTGTCAATGTTTGACACATGAGATACCTCTGTCCGCGTAATACATTGTCATAACCGGATATGTATAAATTTAGAATGTTTCTTCGAGCGATATGAGGTTACTGAGAAAACCTGTCAATATCTATCACAACTTTATGAAATGAGACACAATGTTAAACATAATGGAATAAATTAATGTAAATTATGAACGAAATCATGTGCTACTGCAATGCGTATATGCTTTTTAGGGGGGTGGGGGGGGGTGTGTGTTTGCTTTCTGCAATATTGCAGCTATATGACCAGACAATCCAGTGATCAACATCTTGAGTATCGATCTATAATGTGCATATGCACTATTCTCTATAAGGGCCAATGCTTTAATGCGAATGAAAGATTTGACTTGATTCCTTGTGAGATAGATTTGAGGTAGATTTAACTGTGTCCACAAATGTCAGTATGTCCCCATGTAACATGTAGTTGTGTGTATCAATGTTTGACTCCTGTTGTGACGAATTCGTACATGTCGATGTATCAGCCATTTGTCATGAAGTCAGTATTGGTGTTGTCATTCCTGAATACTGTTTACATAAGCGGAATGCTACACAAGCTTTGAGATCCAATGTCTTACGGAAATTCTTATTCTTGCTATCACCCAAATATCATTTTAGAACAAGTTAAGCCTAACCAGGATGACTGACTGACTGACTGACTGACTGACTGATTGGTTGTTTTTAACGCCGCACTCAGCAATATTTCAGCTATAGGGTGGCGGTTTGTAAATAGTTGAGTCAGACAATCCAGTGATCAACCGCATGAGCATCGATCTACTCAATTGGGATACGATGACATGTGTCAATTAAGTCAGCGAGCCTGACCATCTGTTCCTTTCAATCGCCTCTTACGACAAGCATGGGTTACTGAACATCAGTTCTAACCCGGTTGTTCAGGGGCGCTAACACGGATGACCTGGAGAGATGCGGCGTTTCTTAAGCCATGATGCAATTACATGTATTACAGGAAATCCTTGTGATCTGTGTCATCATGTGAACAAGACATGAGAAAGAAAATATAAAAATACACGAAAAAACATCAACTAAAAATCAAAATGCAAATGAAATATACCACAAGTAGTTCCTGCGCTGACGATATCAGCGATGTCGGTGTCGACAGCGGTGGTGGCCAGGGTACTGGCTGTGCCAGTAGTACATGCATCACCTGTCATCCCCTTCAGGCAGGAAACAAGATTCAGTAGAGCTCTGTGGCAATAAAATGTAAACAGTTCAAGTTCTCTGTACGAGTGAGTTTGGTTTTACGCCACTTTTAGCAGTATTCCAGCAATATCACGGCGGGGGACACCAGAAATGGGCTTCACGCATTGTACCCATGTGGGGAATCGAACCCGGGTCTTCGGCGTGACGAGCGAACGCTTTAACCACTAGGCTACCCCACCGCCCCCCTCTGTACGAGTGAAATGGAAACGCGTTGCTTTTACCTAATAATGTTTTTTGACTCTCACTATGATTACTGGCTTGACATGCAAAATTATATATTGTCCTGCACTTGGGGTTACATTTAACATTTTTATTGTCAGGGTGGTCAGTTCAAACAGAACTCTAAATCTGTTTAAAAACACAATATTGACAAAATACATTTTAATCGGGGATCTACTCCAAAGATCAATGTTGCTATTTTTCGTAAAAAGGACAAATTTTATTGGCAATATTCTTGCCATTGTCTTTTTAGAATTTTTCTTTTTTAAAAAGCAATTCAAGCCTAAAAAGCCATGAACGTATGCAACTACTGCTGAGGGCGTCATGGAATGTGTAACTGGTTTGAAAATGAAACTTTCAAATGGACGCAAAGAACATGCATGACCTGGTTCACTTACCGTTGTTGACCTTGTTCACTTACGTGCATTTATCTGCATTTGTGGATATGACAGACTTGGCATACCCCAACTCACAGGAACATGCTGATGTAGCAAAACCTGAAACACACATTGCAATATCATATTTCTGAAGAATTCTATTTATGTATGTTAAAAATGTATTTACACTAAATATACTCATGGAAACGAATAAGGGAACACATGAAAGTACAAGTGATCCTTTATTCTTTTCCAGGTTTTTTCACAAGGTATGTATTGCACTGTGGGTGAAATTCTGGAAATAAATAAAGGAACACTTCTACTTCCATGTGCTCCCTTATTCGTTTCAATGAGTATTTATGATGACGTTTGTTTAATGAACTCTTGACAACTTGGATGAATGAAGACATGTGATGTGATATTTCTTTCATCTTAAAAGTAAGTAAAACCACCTAGGGCATTATGAACAGGATGACAGACTGTCATACTGTTTCCGTATGTACACTATTTGAGAGATGTTTTAGACAGTGTGGCCTTGTATCCACAGATATAGAATAATTATATAACATATGGCATTACCATTAAATTATCACATGTAAACGAAAAAATGACCAAAACATTTTTCTGTCGATTATCTGCCTAACAGATTTATGAGAGGAACAAATGGTGCAAATTATGTGAATTCACGACTGAAAATCAGGGATTACAACATGATTACACCGTGATTACACCATGATTACACCGTGATTACACCGTGATTACACCGGGATTACACCGGGATTACACCGGGATTACACCGTGATTACACCATGATTACACCGTGATTACACCGTGATTACACCGTGATTACACCGTGATTACACCGGGATTACACCGTGATTACACCGTGATTACACCAAGTGTTCTAACGGTAGCATCCGCAACTCACCCGAATCGGAATCATCAATCTTGTTATGCACCATACTGCAGAGGGTACCATTCTAATAATTGCTATGCATCGATCATTATAAAACATATAGTTTGTCAGTTGTTGCTTTGCTTTTTGCTGCATATTTACAATGAGAATATTGTGGCTTACTTGTACACGCAGTCCCAATGGGAGTTTCAATTGCAGTTGCAAGGCTCATGACTGTTTCACCACTCTTGCAAGCAGCTTCTGTTTTGTCTTTCAGGCAGTTTACATAGGTCTTCATAGCACTGCAAACATGACCAGAGACACAACATTAACACTGCGACCAAGATTCAGTTTCATCAGGCTGTTGTCGAGTAATGTGTATTGAGAAGAAAGAATCATTTTGAAACGCTCAAGCATGCTAATTGTTTGATTGGCATTCTAGAATTTGGTGACTAAAAAATGTAACATACAACTTTATGGATGACAACTTCTTATTTATTCCATAGAGCGACGTTTCGATGTAGATCCTTACATCGTTATCCCTATTAGCTTGATAACGATGTAAGGATCTACATCGAATCGTCACTCTATGCACTTTTAGCTTGATAACGATGTAAGAATCTCCATCGAAACGTCACTCTATGCACTTTTAGCTTGACAACGATGTAAGAATCTCCATCGAAACGTCGCTCCAAGTTGAATATTACATTTTACATGCTCAAGCATACCTCTTTCCTAAAACAAAATATTTCAACAAATTTAAAGTTAGCGATAACCCTCTCTGACAGTATTTAAATGCCTAAATCAGCAAAACCATCAATCTGAGCAAAGAGTCAAGCGTCTAAGTCTGGCATACATTATAATTCGATAATTGGATTATCCGAGGTTGAATCACATCATCATTTTAACACATCTACCTGCAGTGATCAGATGAGATGTCAGTTTTCGCATATGTGGCCTCACACGTACAGGTGGTGGTTGTAGCTGGAAGAGATCATTTTGTGACATGAAGTAGTAGTCGTACTTCGGTGTGAACAATTTGTAACACGCAACATAGGAATGTCCTGTTTCAAGACAAGCTAAAAATGAGAAAGAAGTAGCAAATGTTACATGAAAAGAACAACAGCTTGAAACGCCAAATGCGAATGAAACATACCACAAGCAGTGATACCAGGGATGTCGGTGTCGAAGGCAGTTGTGGCCAGAGCGTGGGTGGTGCCACCGGCGCAACCAGCCCCTGTCTTTCCCTTCAGGCAGGATACAAGATTCAGTTGAGCTCTGTGGCAGGACAATGGAAATGGTTAATAACGTCAACCGTACGTGTGCCCTTGGAACATAAGTGTTACGCGTTGCGTATGAGTCTCCCAGTGGTGAGAGTCTGTCTTACTCCTCTTGCAGCGTATGACCAAGTTCAGCCTACGTGATCGGCGGCCCAAAACGTTGACGAATACGTCTCCCTGTGTAATTCAAGACTTGTTCAATGAGCCAAAGGTCTAACCTCTTCATTGCTGGTCATGGTATTCTATGGATGTTGTGGTGAGCAAAGACGATTCGTGCACGGTGATCGCGGGTGTTTACCGCCATGTAAGACAAAACGTCTACTCACGCTCCTTGTAAATGGGACTACAAGAGGCGTCACTATGTTACCCCGATAGTATTGTCAAATTACCCACTCCATGCACAACCGCAAGACATGACCACGCATGTCAAGGAACGGCAAAGTGAATCCAGATTCATCCGAGGTGAGGTGAAATTGGGTTTTACGTCGTGCTTGGGAATATTTCGCTCCTATGACGACGTGCATGCGTGTGTATGTGTATATGCGGCTGCTTGTACTAGCCCAGACTGAAGCTGGTTTTATAGTGCTAGCCCACTGAGATACCATGCCGCAGTGAAGCATGAATACCCCACTCAGACACATTATACTGACTCCGAGCCGACCAGTTCTTGTTGTACCCATCAATACCGAGCGCCAGGCAGGGACCAACAAGTACCATATTTTAACGTCTTTTGGTATGCCGCGGTCGGGGATCGAACACGCAGATTCATCTGAAAGCATGACAGCTGACCAGAGACGATTACCCCAGTTTTGAACTCAGTTGCCAATATGACAAATTGTCACAACACGTGGCACCAGGCGTGAAAATAATCAGTATACAGACAATTTCTGATCGTTTGACCTATAATTCGCACACCAGTACCCTGATGGTGTTTTGCAGCAATCGGATTCGCCGTCTGAGTTCGATTTCGCAGGAAGGTTTTCCTATTTTGATGTTGGACACGTTGACAAGATCGATTGTCCATATGTTCCACTTATTTGTAACTGTTTCATAGTCTGTTAACCACAAACTATAAACCACTGAACGTGAGAAATACAAGCATATTTTTACTCATTTCCTTCCTGCCAATCGCTCGTACATGCTTAGTATGCTGCGGACTCCTAATCGCTAGTTCGAAAACAAACGATGAATGAAATCAATTAAATCACCACAGTATGACAACAAAATCAACAAGACTGACGAAAACAAAAGTCCACAGAGCTTTTCGACCTTCATTTAAAATGTCAAAATAGGGGTTGACACCTTACGCGCGTGTTTGGCGCTACGCCATCTGGCACACGGAAACTGTCGGATAAGGTTGGTGTTAAGTTTTACAGACATAAACTGTTTGTCGTCAACACCTTTCGTTGTCAACTTATCAGTTGTCAACACTTGGCATTAACATGTATATTTCGTGATCTTCTGCTATTTCTCAGGAGTATACAACTCTCTAAACATTAGTGTTAAACAGATTTATACTTTTACTTTGAGCGGAGAGAATATGTTTGTTTTAGAAACTAAAGACAACATGTTTATCAAAGCTGTAGGTTTTAGTTAATTCATTTTTCAAACCAATGACCAGCCCTTGTCCATCCGCTCCGCATACCAAAAGTATTTTGTTATATTGAAGATATACTTAATCATTTGTTAAGACGATGCAAACTGAAACTAGTGTACGTAAAGTTGAAACATGAAATGTCGAAATTGACATGGCAGACTCCAATGCATTCATTATTTTAAACCAACCCAAGCATAACGTATATAACTGCTAATTTCATATGTTGAGGGCGTCATGAAATGAGTAATTGGTTTCAAAATGATGGCTCCAGATCAGGACCGCATCGCCGTATGCACGATTAAAAATATACACGACATGGTTGGAAATAATTTAGAACACGTAGGAGATACGCATCACATCAATGGTGTACGGTTTTAAAATCATTTACAGGCGTATTTATATAAAACATATCGACCTGATTTCAAGCAGTGTCCCATATTTGAATTTACGCGATAGCGTCACATTGGGGTTTCCATTGTCGTGTTTTAGCAATCCCGGTTGCTAAGGTAAACCGGGTACCGCAGCGAATCATCTCTGTTAAATTTAATTGGTCAAAATTGCCCACGTGTATGTAAACATGGAGGCACAGAAACAAATAACAAGTTTCTTTCAGGAACAAGACTGTGCCACGACGACTTATAAACGGTCAAGTAATCAAATTGCTGTACGAATAATGAACGAACTGCTTACGAGTGTCACTCGTTCGTCTTGTCGTAGTCAGACTCCATTAAATTTTATTCAATACCCTAATGTACTCTTAAGTTTTTTCAGTATATTGGAAAAAAGGAGTAAGTACTCCTGATGTTGAAAACTTATTTCCAGCCCTGTGAAACGTCTAAGTGAAGAACATGCATGAATACCGTCGTTGACATAGCACACTTACGTGCATTTATTGGCTGGTGGGGATATGGCAGACTTGGCATACCCCAACTCACAGGAACATGCTGATGTAGCAAAACCTAAAACACACATTGCAATATTGTCTTAGGTTCAATCAAAGATTCCCAAATAATATTTAAAGTCAATGTAATCATTTACAAATCTGTAGTGTTTTCAAGCGCAGTGTTCACATTCATACCAATTGGAATTGTACCACGCCATCAGGCGCGTAGCAAGTCATTTTTTTCGAGTAAGCCCGATAGGTGCAAAACTTTATTATTTAGACAGTATTGAAAGCTTGTCCAACGTTTTTAGCAACAATCATGTAAAAGCCCGGGCTTTTTTATAATGGAAGCTACGGCACTGGCCATGCATGGTGTTTTACATTGAAAATTCGTTTTTTTTCTAACACATACTTTTAGACATGATATCATAACGCCTTTCCTTCAAAGGTTAATTCAGATAAGGGTATATACCCAGGTTTTTAATATACTTAGGGGCTGTGGGGTAGCTTAGTGGTTAAAGCTTTCGCTGAAGATCTGGGTTAGATTCCCCACATGGGTACAATGTGAAGTCCATTTCTAGTGTCCCCTGCAGAGATATTGTTGGAATTATGCTAATAGCGGCGTCACACTCACTCACTCACTCATACACTCACTCACTCTTATATGCTCAAAAAGAGGACTTGCTTTCACAATTGGCAAATGCACATTTTTCGAAGTGAAGCTCAAATCACTAATCGGAACCATCCATCTTGCTGCAGAGGGTACCATTCTAATAAAAGCTATGCACCGATCATTATAAAACATATAGTTTGTCAGTTGTTGCTTTGATTTTTGCTGCATATTTATAATGAGAATATTGTGGCTTACTTGTACACGCAGTCCCAATGGGAGTTTCAATTGCAGTTGCAAGGTTGATGACTGTTTCACCACTCTTGCAAGCAGCTTCTGTTTTGTCTTTCAGGCAGTTTACATAGGTCTTCATAGCACTGCAAACATGACCAGAGACACAACATTAACACTGCAACCAAGATTCAGCTAGTTTTGATATTCAGGTTGCAGTCTAAAATATGCATCGAACATGTTTCATTCTTGAAACATAACAAATAAACATTTTCAACAAAATAAAATTTACTCAGTTATAACCGTGTCTGACAGAGAAGTATTTAAATGCTGCCTAAAAAGGTGCACACATCATAATTCGATAATCGGCTTATCCGAGGTTGAATCACATCATCATCTTAACACATTTACCTGCAGTGATCAGATGAGATGTCAGTTTTCGCATATGTGGCCTCACACGTACAGGTGGTGGTTGTAGCTGGAAGAGAGATCATTTTGTGACATGAAGTAGTAGTCGTACTTCGGTGTGAACAATTTGTAACACTTTCTTTGAGAGGCATTGTAACACGCAACATAGCAATATTCCAACTATACGGCGGCAGTCTGGGCCAGACAATCCAGTGATCAACACCATGAATATACATTTACGCAACTGGGATACGATGACATGTGTCATCAAGTCCATAAGCCTGATCCCGTTAGTCGCGTCTTACGACAAGCATGGGTTGCTGAAGACCAATTCTAAAACGGATCTTCACGGGTGGCAGCTGTGAAGTGGTGGACACAGTATATATACATATGTGAACAGAGTTTGTAACCTATAATGGCTGACACATTATATCTGCACACACTTGATGACGCAAGGTTACATCTTGTACAGTTGTACTCGGATAATTTAATGTTGGTCTTTGTACCGTGTACTTCGTGTGAAACATTGTTGTACAAGACATAATATATAATGAATCATTACCAGTCATGAAAGAGCGAGTGGTGACACGATGGTTAACTAAAAATGGTCAGTTGGAATGAGACAAGCTCCTAGGCTTTCTAGGACGGAAGCTATAGGCTAGGCCAGTGAACGTTCTACTCACGGGAAGACAGATTCGTATGTGTAAACGTATCTGATATGTGTTTATGAATTTTCATTGTTGTTCTGATTACTTATTTCAAGATATAAGCAGGGAGTGGGAAAGAAATAGTAAACGTTACATGAAAAGAACAACAGCTTGAAACGCCAAATGCGAATGAAACATACCACAAGCAGTTCCTGATGTGACGATAGCAGGGATGTCGGTGTCGAAGGCAGTTGTGGCCAGAGCGTGGGTGGTGCCACCGGCGCAATCAGCCCCTGTCTTTCCCTTCAGGCAGGATACAAGATTCAGTTGAGCTCTGTGGCAGTACAATGGAAATAGTTAATAACGTCATCCGTACGTGTGCCCTGGGAACATAAGTGTTATTGATTGATTGATTGATTTAGTATTGGTTTAGTTATTGCTTGTTTGTTTGGTTACTTAATTATTTATTCATTTTATGTTTTTATTTATTTTGTTGGGGGGGGAGTTTTAACTGTGTGTTTCCAGCTTGTCTTTCCGTTCTTTGGGAACGAATGTTTTAGTCAGGTGAATCTTCGCTGACTTTACAGACTGACGGTTGTAATTCGTCTCATCTCTTGTCGTGACTGAGGGGTCTAATGAAACTCGTTTGAGTGGCTACCAACCTTTAGCGTGTCAAATTAGGTGCATAAATGTGCATAATTAGGCGTCTGGAATGTGAATCAGTCTTGTTATTTATGTGCACTCAATGTCATTCCTACAATTTGCTTATTGATCGTTCGATCCATACCTCAAAGACCCGAAACAAAATACTGTCAATGTACAGGTTTTAAATCATGACGCCATCAGCATTTGGAGCAGACACAGGCTTATATCAGGCAGTGGTTCAAATGGTATTGACAGACGCATCCAAAATAGTACAGTGAGTAGGGATTCGATCATCTTAAAGCAAAATGAAAGCTTGACTGAGACAGTACAAAAACGCAAGATTTATTTGGCATCATTCGCATTCACTTTCTTTCATGGAACACATTTACAACACTTACGTGCATCTGTTTGTCTGCAATGACACGTCAGCCTTGGCATAGTCCAACTCGCAAGAACAGGCTGATGTCGTGAAACCTGAAACACACAATGCATAACATGTTTCTAAATTTTTCTAAATTTAATGTGTGTTCGAAAGTTAATTCTTGTCGTAAGAGGCGACTAACGGGATCGGGTGGTCAGGCTCGCTGACATGGTTGAAACATGCCATCGTATCCCATTTGCGTAGAACGATGCTCATGCTGTTGCTCACTGGATTGTCTGGTCCAGTGGTTCAGTCTCGATTATTTACATACCACCGCCATGTAGCTGGAATATTGTTGAGTGCGGCGTTAAACAACAACCAACCATCCAACCAACTGTAAAATTATAACTCACTTGTACAGTCGGTTCCAATGGTAGTACCGACAGCTTTTGCAAGGGAGATAACTGTTCCCCCTGACTTACAAGTGGCAGCAGTTTTGTCTTTGAGGCAGCTCACGAACGTTTTCTTTGCACTGATAAAATACGTCATTACATTGTAAGGATAAGTGTTGTAAATATGGAACAATTACATTTACGTCCATCACGACTATGTTGTGAATACGGTACCAAGTGTGCCTGAAGGTGTCGTCGGCACGGGTATTACCGGTATTTCAGCCAGGAGTCGACAAAGATCACGATACAGAAAGGTTTCTTAGGATCAGATAAAGAATATTGTAGGATGCTTATGGAATAACCATTGTCTTTGGGGTTTTTTAAATATGTGGTTTTAAATCTCAAGTGTTTACGACAGCACTGTTACTCTTGTATGTGAAAATACTTTTACGTCAGGACTGTCGTCAAACGGTAGAACGAAAAATATTTTCAGAAGGAAAATGACTTGAAAATGCTTCACATTTGACGAGATTATACGAGATGAGGGAAATGATACTATTAGATGGATCTAACTCTTCATTCGTCTCAAAGAAAGTTTCTCAAAGGATGTGAATGTTCCAATTAAAGATGGATGTTATGTGTATCAGGTTTTATTATCTGCTGAGTGCCTCACATTCATTCAAAGTTATAGAACGCAGAAAATAACCATGTGACACCACGAATACAATGTTACATTTAATTGAAGAATCGGAAGGAGGGATGTATTCATAATATTATCTGCATGTATTCGTATAGTTAGCTCATATACATTATTCATCTACATTAAATATACTGAATGGCAAAAGAAACGTCGTTATATTGGAAATAACCTTAAGTATCAATGGAATATTTGAACCTATTTTGTTTAGATATACACAGGAAGTCAAGTTTGAGGAAAACATGAATCGTAGGGGTATTGCCTGTATTGACAAAGTATTGTTTGAGATTGTGGTTTGAAATGATTTTGTTTGTGGAAAGGGAAAAGTTTGCAAAAACACAACACTGAAATTGAGATGCACGTGCATCATGCATGCATTCAGGCATAAATTGCCGGCTTGAAGGGCAATCGTTCACTTGTTTTCGTAGCATCTATGGCTAGGTTAACGAGAATGAACGACAACAAGCCATTGGACGTCTAGACGCTAGTCAAAGTGCTCGAGTCATTGCTAATGACTTCAATTTCAGCGTACTAACGATAGAACGTCTTAGACAGCGATACAACGAAACCGACAGCACTGATTACCGTCTACGTAGTGGTCGACTCCGTGTAACAACACGTCGCCAGGACCGTCATATCGTCCATCAACACGTTATCCTTGGCATAGCTGCTGTGTTCAGAAAACAAAAATTCAAGCCATTCAAGCCGGCAATTTATGCCAGAATGCATGAATGATGCACGTGCATCTCGATTTCAGCGTTGTGTTTGTGCAAACTCTTCCCTTTCCTCAAACAAAAAACATTTCTAACCTCAGTCTCAAACAATACTTTATTGGGCAAAACAGGCTATACGACCACGATTCATGTTTTCCTCAAACTTAACTTCCGATGTATATTTATAAAAAAACAGATTCAAATACTCCATTGATACTTAAATGTCATTTCCAATATTACGACGTTTCTTTTGCTTTCAGTATACCTTATGGCCCGTTTAACGTTTTCCTGTCCGTTTGGACTTATTTTTGTCAGGTTCCGCTCTACACTACCCACTGGCACGCGTGAAGTGTGAACTCACGTGCATCTGCCGGCCATGGCAGAGATATCTGTTGTGGCGTAAGTCTTTTCACACACACTGATACAACAGAGGCTAGTGTGACAGTTGTAAACCTGAGAGTGATGTGAGGCCATGTCTGTGTTACTTGGACACACACTGATACAACAGAGGCTAGTGTGACAGTTGTAAACCACAGAGTGATGTGAGGCCATGTCTGTGTTACAGAGGTTAATGGACACACAACCTGATACAACAGAGGCTAGTGTGACAGTTGTACAACCTGAGAGTGATGTGAGGCCATGTCTGTGTTACTTGGACACACACTGATACAACAGAGGCTAGTGTGACAGTTGTACAACCTGAGAGTGATGTGAGGCCATGTCTGTGTTACTTGGACACACACTGATACAACAGAGGCTAGTGTGACAGTTGTACAACCAGAGAGTGATGTAAGGCCATGTCTGTGTTACTTACACTGATACACAGGTTACTGACAGTACAACAGAGGCTAGTGTGACAGTTGTAAACCTGAGAGTGATGTGAGGCCATGTCTGTGTTACTTAGACACACACTGATACAACAGAGGCTAGTGTGACAGTTGTACAACCTGAGAGTGATGTGAGGCCATGTCTGTGTTACTTAGACACACACTGATACAACAGAGGCTAGTGTGACAGTTGTAAACCACAGAGTGATGTGAGGCCATGTCTGTGTTAGGACACACACTGATACAACAGAGGCTAGTTGACAGTTGTGAGGCCATGTCTGTGTTACTTGGACACACACTGATACAACAGAGGCTAGTGTGACAGTTGTACAACCTGAGAGTGATGTGAGGCCATGTGTGTGTTACTTAGACACACACTGATACAACAGAGGTTAGTGTGACAGTTGTACAACCACAGAGTGATGTGAGGCCATGTCTGTGTTACTTGGACACACACTGATACAACAGAGGCTAGTGTGACAGTTGTACAACCTGAGAGTGATGTGAGGCCATGTCTGTGTTACTTAGACACACACTGATACAACAGAGGCTAGTGTGACAGTTGTACAACCAGAGAGTGATGTGAGGCCATGTCTGTGTTACTTGGACACACACTGATACAACAGAGGTTAGTGTGACAGTTGTACAACCTGAGAGTGATGTAAGGCCATGTCTGTGTTACTTAGGGTGACACACACTGATACAACAGAGGTTAGTGTGACAGTTGTACAACCTGAGAGTGATGTGAGGCCATGTCTGTGTTACTTGGACACACACTGATACAACAGAGGTTAGTGTGACAGTTGTACAACTGAGAGTGATGTGAGGCCATGTCTGTGTTACTTGGACACACACTGATACAACAGAGGCTAGTGTGACAGTTGTACAACCTGAGAGTGATGTGAGGCCATGTCTGTGTTAGTCAGATAGACGCACACTGATAAAACAAAGGTTAACTAACCAGCGGCACAGCCTCCGATATTAGTGATGTCTGTGTCTGTGGAAGTGGCAATAGTGTGTCCCTTGGTAGAAGCATCGCACGCCAAATCTGTCACTCCACCAATGCATCCAAGCTTCTGTTTCTCGCTCCTGTGAATACATAACTCCAATTATAATTGTGTTATATGACACATGTATGTTAGCTTGGGTGCGTATAAGTGGACCTGTACTTGCCACAGGTTGTAATGCTGACGTAACTTAAATTACATTGCGTCCCTGACATGCGCCAGGAACCGCTGATCGAGGTTTCGAAAAACAGACACATTTTATGAAGAACATTGATTTGTGAGCACCGTATTCATGCCTGAGCATGGTTGTGTCCCTTGGGCAAGTTAGGATACGCTCATCGAGGTTTCGAAAAACAGCACATTTTATGAAGAACATTGATTTGTGAGCACCGTATTCATGCTTGAGCATGGTTGTGTCCCGTAAGCGAGTTAGGATACGCTGATCGAGGTTTCGAAAACAGACACATTTTATGAAGAACATTGATTTGTGAGCACCGTATTCATGCTTGAGCATGGTTGTGTCCCTTGGGCGAGTTAGGATACGCTGATCGAGGTTTCGATAGACAAATTACTCCTAAAATGATCACTGTCGGCAATTAATGGAATCTGCAACCTGCTTGACATTCACTTTTCTCTAAATGTGAACTGATACGATCTATTATTATTGAAAAATCTGTTAAGAAAGGTAGTGGATTTACAACTTTAGGGGGAATATTATTTGGGAACCAATTTTTAAGATAGTATATGTATTTAGAAAATGATCATTCCAGTTATGTGTCATGAATATCGCTATGTTCGTGCATGCGTTTTACATGGTGTGCACGTGAACATGGTTGGGGTAAATTTTGAATTATACTGGGGAACATGTTGGTGTTGCTGTTCAATTCACTGCTAAAAACTGGACTGATACTGGATATTGTTCTGATGTACGCTAAACGTGACAGTGTTAAACAGTGTCTTATTAAAGATATAAAATATCAATAGTTATTACAACGTCGCATTGCATTTCCCCAACTTTTTGTTTATAGTATATTATTTTAAGGGGCGCTTAATGACAAACCAGATACATTATTTGAGAGAATACAGTAAGATCCAGAAATCCAGTAATAGCTTTGCGGAAGTTGAATATATACGCCGTGTAGATCACAATGAGCATCAATGGTATTCAATAAGTTCATATGGTGTTTTTTTATGGCATATAGATTATTCTTACTAAGTAAAGTACAGAATCTATTACTATTAGGGTCATTCAACCGACACCGCACAAATTCGGCGATCTAACCCACTGAGCCATCGCGGCTTCCACGGTCGTCTAGACTACGTATTTGTGTACCCCTCTGTGTTCCCGCGGCCGCTCTGAATACACAATGCTTATGTGCTTCACTAGGTATGTTTGTTTGTTTAACGCCGCACTCAGCAATAGTCATGCTTCATGGCGGCTGTCTGTAAATAATCGAGTCTGGACCAGACAGTCCAGTAATCAACAGCATGAGCATCGATCTACGCAACTGGGATACGATGACATGTGTCAACCAAGTCGGCGAGCCTGACCACCCGGCCCGCTTAGTAGCCTCTTACGACAAGCATGGGTTACTGAAGACCCATTTTAACCGGATCTTCACGGGTCTTCTCCTGTCATGAAAGAAGGAACACTACATCATGGCCACTTGGACATCAATGACCTTTAAAGTAATGAGGCAATACATATAAAAAGATAACTGGTTCCGTTTGTGTTTGAAGCCATTTGAAAGACATGTGATGTTATTAAGGAGCTACCGAGATGAGAATCAGTAAGGAGTTTACTCCGCTTTTAGCAATATTCCAGCAATATCATGGCGGGGGACACCAGAAATGTGCTTCAAACACTGTACTCATGTGGGGAATCGAACCCGGGCCTCAGGCTTAATGAGCGAATGTTTTTATCACTAGGCTACCCCATCCCCAAAAAGAAAATCAACGTCCGCACGTGTCGCAAAAGGAAATGCTGCTGCTGGTACCCATCGACAAGTGGCACTGATCCGTGCCCATAGTGACTGATGGCACTTCGTTTGTGTCTGCGTGCGTGCATACTCAAATACCACTAAGCGTCTACTTACTCGCATTGGATGCAGATGCCCTGGGACAATCGTAACACGTTTGGCGTCTCCGTGCATGCATACGCAAATACCACTGAGCGTCTTTTTACTTACTCGCATGGAGTGGAGATGCCCTGGGACCATCGTAACACGTTTGGCGTCTGCGTGCATACGCATACGCAAATACTACTTACTCACATTGAGTGGAGATGCCCTGGGACCATCGTAGCACGTTTGGCGTCTGCGTGCATACGCAAATACTACTTACTCACATTGAGTGGAGATGCCCTGGGACAATCGTAACACGTTTGGCGTCTCCGTACGCATGCATACGCAAATACCACTGAGCGTCTTTTGCGTGCACTTACTCTCGCATTGAGTGGAGATGCCCTGGGACAATCGTAACACGTTTGGCGTTTCCGTGCATACGCACGCAAATACCACTGAGCGTTTTTTTACTTACTCGTATTGAGTGGAGATGCCCTGGGACCATCGTAACACGTTTGGCGTCTGCGTGCATACGCAAATACTACTTACTCACATTGAGTGGAGATGCCCTGGGACAATCGTAACACGTTTGGCGTTTCCGTGCATACGCAAATACTACTGAACGTCTTCCTACTTACTCGCATTGAGTGATGGTGCCACTCGGACCATCGTACCAGATGGTCTTTTTGACACGTACACAGTGTGGTCAGAGCTGAAAGGTACGACAAATATACGATAAGAACAGGTTTCTGTGATAATCTAAACAAAACTTTAAAATTTCTTAATTTCATAGTTTACATTAGAAATAATGTGTGAGGAAAGCAACCCTCCCACAAATGGGTTTGGTGATGACAACCAAGTTACCATAACAACAGGTGAATTTCAGATCCGCATTTTGATTCAAACCACGTGCAAAGAACATTGTTAATTACAATCAATCTTATGCATCTGCAATCAATCCAAAAATTACGATACGACAAAAGTGTCAATCGTTTGGGAATTGTAATGTTTGGCTGACAGGTTGGGGTTGTTTTTCAATTGGATGCCTGATGCCAACGAAAAGCCAGATACTAGGATGGGATACATTAGGGCGTTTTACTTACAGCAGGAACTAAGTTGTCCAATGAACCCGACTAGGTTGGCAGTCGATGTTGGACATCCGGGGTTCACGGCATCTTCCATACACGTGATGAAGGCGTTGGCCACGCTGAAATATAGCATAGGAATGAGTGAGTGAGTGAGTTTAGTTTTACGCCGCTTTTAGCAATATTCCAGCAATATCACAGCGCGGGACACCAGAAATGGGCTTCAAACATTGTACCCATGTGGGGAATAGAACCCGAGTCTTCGGTGTGATGAACCAACGCTTTAACCACAAGGCTACCCTACCGCCCCCAGATCAAGATGACCCGAGGTAAAAGTATAATCGTGACACTACAGCGAACGAATACCCATGAGTGAATGAGTGAGTATGGTTTTTCTTCACGTTTAGCAATATTCCAGCGCTATAATGGCGGGTGACGCCAGAAATGGACTTCGCACATATTTGGAATCGAACCCGGGATGAGCGAACGCTTCAAAAACTAGGCTACCCCGCGCCCCTCGAACGCCGATGAGATAGGAGCCTTGCTCTGATTTTCATTTCTCCTTTCTTCGTGGTCAGAGGTCATTGTTTACTTACGTGCATGTCTTGGTAGCAGCATTGTACGTCGCCAAGCAGTCGTCACAGGAGGCTCCATAAGCCCCCACCGCAAGAACTGAAACAGACACGAGAATTCTTGACTGACGTGATAAATGGGAAGGGGGTACGGTGAAATGGGGACTAATGTCAAGTCTGTTTTACTTAAATTTCGAACCCGTGAAAATCCGGGTTAAAATTGATCTTCAGTAACCCATGCTTGTCGTAAGAGGCGACTAACGGGATCGGGTGGTCAGACACTCGCAGGCTTGGTTGACACTTCATCGTATCCAAATTGCGTGTATCGATGTTCATGCTGTTGATCACTGGATTGTCTGGTCCAGAGTCGATTATTTACAGACCAGCGCCATGTAGCTGGAATATTGTTGAGTTCGGCGTTAAGCGAAAACCACGTAAATTTCGACCATAACACTGTGTGTGGCTGCTGGTACCAGGATTTCTGCAGGTTTAATAGTGCCAGTCCTCTGAAATACCGTGCCCCTGTTCAACATGGATACCATTCAATCACAGTATCCTGAAGTTCAGACATTCTGTGTTATATCCCCTTGTGCCGAGCACCAGGCAGGGAGACAATATATACCATTCTATATGTCTTTTGTTATGACGCTTGCAGGGTATCGAACCACCCACCTTCAAGTCAACAGGCAGACTCTGTGTCCACTACACTACGAAGACTTTGGGATAGTCAGTACAAAGTATTCTTCGTTACATGATACAGATCATGCTAGTCTAACGAAAAACATTGACTTCCGTTGAGAATATCTGAAACACTTCTCAAATGGTAACCTCCCAAAACTTAGACAGCCATATCTTAGACAGCTTAAAACAACAACTAATCCTCAAGCTGATACCTATTTCTTATAATGGATCAGTCCAGTAGAATCTATTAGACAAGACGTTATGTTCTTTCAGCATATTTATTATAAGTTCAACGGAGATAAAAATTAAATAAATAGTAAATAATAAATATGGTATGTTGATCATGTCCATTCTTGGCATATTAAGGACAATTCCACCTAAGAATCATGCAGAGATGGATAAGTCCAAAATTTCATATTCACTTGAAATTTTGTCATTCTCTTTATTTGGCCTTGGAAAATGTCATGTCACTCAGAAATGTTTCTGTTATCAATATTTTTCATTACTTAGCCGTTAATTAAAGTTCTACGAAATTGACCCATAATCGCATGTGAAAATGTACGAAAATACTATTTTTCAGTTGACAATATTGTTAAAACCATTCATGCTGTCAGAATTATTTTACTTTGTATTGAAAGAATACATATAACTTTCACTTCAGTTATATTTTTGAAGAGTTGATGAGTACAGCTCCATAGCAACGGTTGTCAGGATAACGGATATTCTAACCCGTTAGTTGGTTGGTTGGTTGTTTGGTAAGTTGCTTAGTAAGTTTAGTTGTTAAGTTAAATAAATAATTGAACAAATAAATAAATATATAAATATAAAAAATATAATACACACCATCCCTACTCAGACAAACAGCATTCGGCCATATATTGACTACAAAACATTCTCACTCCTTATTTCAATACGAAGATCACATATACGCATACATCATATATTCACAACAACATATTCACAAGGCGGGTACACACATGTACAGAGCAAAGGCAAGGAAGGATCTAAAATACAGACTAGAGTGAGGATACCATGGAATACAGATATTTACAAAATAGGACAATCATACATCTCAGCGACATTTCATCTATGTGTTCAGTAACTGGTATTTCACCTCCAGAAAAGAGAGACAGCATTTCATCTTCTGGCAGTAATTCTATTTGTACAGATACATTGACATGAAAAAGAACTGATTCCTGTTGTACATATAATGTTCACAATGTAGAATTATGTAGCAGTTATAGTCATTACATTTTGAAAATTTTGCTTGATAAAAATGATTTGTACACAAAATCATCAGGTGAGAGTCCAGGTGATGAAGGAGTTAGCATACACCCCGAAACGTCGTGTTATTCACAATAATGAAGTTGACATCAGTAAATCTTGCTTTTCTTATGCATTCCACTTCTCAATGTCCTTCATACATTTACACATACTTTACAGTTTCAGTTGTTCTATTTATTTACAAGCTAGGTCTACTCAGCAGGGAACACTAATTAGGACTGTTCCATTTCAGCCATGGGTGTTGTCTTAATTAATCCCCTTCATTAGTGTCTAAGTTATGGCTGTCTAAGATATGTTTGTTTGTTTGTTTATTTCTTTAATAGGCCAACTGCCAACATGACAAATACATCATACATACTTTCAAAAGCGCATTGCCAACCTTTGCCTCCCCCCTCCCCCCACCCAACCAGACCCACTTGCAAAGATCTTTCGTGACAGAAGATAGCACTAAAAAGGAAATAAACATTCAAGGATAATTCAGATTATAGTTTTGCTTTACCTGAAATATATGATAAACAAATTTGGCTAAGTTGAAGGTTAATACTTCAACTTAAGTTTGTAAAAGACTTATAAACTTCATCATGTTTGGAGACTTGTATACGTCCAAAGGTAGGTAGCGACGTCTAAATGTCAAGTACTTAGGACAAACCATGATGACATGATATTCATCCTCATATGGCGATGTAAGTTTTGGGAGATAACCTCTAGAATACTAAAAGAATTGGTCTTCAGCAACCCGTGCTTGTTGTAAGAGAGGACTAACAGGATCGGGTGGTCATTATCAGCATGTTATTGTATCCCAAGATCACAGGATTATCTGGTCCAGACACGAATATTTACAGACCGCCGCCATACAGCTGGAATATTGCCATGTGCGGCGTTAAACAACAAACGAGCAAAAGCATACCCACACCATTATTATTGCGTATCTAAATAAACACAAGCATGTGGTCAATGTCGACAAATCTTCGCTGCAAATGTCAGATTTTGCGAGAATAATTCAAATTCACGAACAAATTCCAACCCAAAACATGTTATATCATAGACCGATTAACGCTGTGTTTAAATGTGGCCAAATCACAGCCGCCGAGAAATCAGGTCCCGCTTGTCACCACGTATGGGGTCAAAGGGGTAGCCTAATGGTTAAAATGTCCGCTCGTTACACTGAAGACCCGGGTTCGAATCCACCTTGGTACAATGTGTGATGTATCCCGCCGTAGTATTGCTGGAATGTTGCTAATAGCGGCGTAAAACCATACTCACTCACTCACACCACGTGTGGGCAGACAGGGACCCAGTCTAACATCACACAAGGAAATATTAAACGAAGCTCTCGTAAAATCAAACAAAACGACACACGGCAGACAAGGAAAGGTCCTCGCAGAGGTATTAAAACGCACTACCACAGAATACGCTTTTTTTTTGTCCAATTGTCCCCACCGTCATACATATGTGTATACTTTCGTTTTCCTGGCAGTAATTATTTGCTAAAAACTAATTCACAGGATATGTAAACCACCAGATTACATAGACGCGGATTCGTAGCTTAAGGCGGATTACAGAAAATCAATATTTTATGAATAATTAAGGCTTGGTCCTAAACTAATGAAAGCACAAAGTTTTGTAGTCGAACACAATGACATGGAAAAAGTCAATGACACATCACAGACATTGTTTGATCGCGATCAAACACGACACCAAGGTGATACTGTAAAGAAACAGACGTGTTTTTGCGTGCAAAACAAATAACGCACGAATAGCCTTCGTTTTTACGTATCCAATGACCTTTCTAATCGTTAAAACTTCTAACACGTCTGTCCTAGTAAGTAAATACATGTGTATGAGGGACTGTTTGTACAGTTGTGTCCTTGGCTGGTTTTATAAAAGTGTTCCAAATAGATAGGTTTTTAATTGTTGTTGGGTTTGTGTCTGCTAACGTCATCAGCTGTTACATCCTACGACCTTCAGATGTAGTGTTGGCACTGTTAACGTCCTTTTGTAACCGTTGCATTCCGTTTTGAACGTTATTCTTAGCTAATAAATATCAGGTATTATTTTATGCAGCTGCGTTTGTCAGTATTGTGTCCCCTGAAGGTTTTATAAATAGACACCTATCTGACCAATGGTCGTTGGTTGTGTGTCTAATAACGTCATCAGCGGTTTCATCCTACTACCTTGACACTGTTGACGTCCTTTTCTAACCGTTAAATTCCGTTTTAAACGTCATTCCTAGTGAGTAAATATAATGTAAATGTTAGTTTTCATAGTTAGTTTGCCGTTTATGACCAATGGAAAGTGTTTTGGTAGATCCTATCCTACATCTATCTTCTCTTTCAACAGTATTTAATTTATACCATGGCGTACGATCTTGATAGTGAGTGAATGAGTGAGTGATTTTAGTTTTACGACGCTTTCGCAATATTCCAGTAATATCACAGCGCGGGACATACTAAATGGGCTTCACACATTGCACCCATGTGGGGAATCGAACCCGGGTCTTCGGCGTGACGAGCGAACGCTTTAACCACTAGGCTATTCCACCATTTCACCGCTCTTGTTGGGAGGAAATCCAGGAAGCTGATACATAATCGGGGCGAACAGCACCTATGCTAACAGGGTCGTTGAATTCCTCCAATAAAGTGAAAGTGTACTACACTCGACCATCCATTTTACCATTATGTTTGTACGAATTAAAAATCATATTTATTTATTTATAAACATAACCCAGCTGATTACTAGCATTCTACCAATTTTGTTACCACACGAAGAGGTTCCTGGTCTACCTAAGGGAGGAAATTCTACACAGTGAATCGAGTCATCTGAGAAGACGTCGGTGAAAGAGGTTTGCAGAAAGTAAGCTGGTTAAATCCACTTGCCATTAGAAAATGCTGTTAATTTTTTTTACATACTATATTCTAGCATCTATATCAATACTAGTTTATATAATCACTATGCTTAACCGTTGTAATCGATAACTTCGTTAAGCATTCTATAGGTTTAAAACATCCCCGGTTGTCACAGACGCTTGTGTACGTTCTTCTCGTAAACCGATCGTTGTAGCTATAGAAACATTCTTTGGTACCTTTTACCTGAGCACACCGTACATGGAAAAGGGTATTTATACTGAACATGCAT